GTGAGTTGGAGGAAACTAAAAAGAATCAAATAAATGTGTGTGTGTGTGTGGAGTATATTTAAAAGCAATCTCTCTTCTTTTCCTTTCTCCTCCCACACAGATATGCACCAATTGTCTAAGGGACCAAATACAGGACATACATAGAACTAAATTATTGAATTCTTGTCCTACCTTTGTCTTTTCCACAACTAGTGACCTTGGCAAAATTATCAGTTCTTTCTTAGTTCCCTCATCTATATTGTGGGGAAAACAGTTATTTTCTATTCCAAAAGAATGATAAAAAAAAAATTGGAATGAAAATGCTCTTAAAAGTTAAAGCTGCTGAAAAGAATAATTTGTATTATTTTAATTATTTTCCTTCATGAAGCATCTGACAATGCATCACAGTACTGTCATACATTTCCTGTTAAAGAAGTATTAAATGAATGGTGCATTGTAGAATATTAGTTATTTGCATTATGTCAGTTATGTAAAGTACAACTGAACAGGTTATGTTACCACATCAGGCAGTGCTAATGGTGAATTTATTGCTCAGCCCACAAATTAAAACTCATTTGCTATGAATATTCTTTCTAAGTGAAGCTTGTTGCTGTGAATAAATCCTGTGCAGCCTGTGCAGCATCTCAACAGTTAGGCTTGTAAGTGGCATTTAAAATGGTACGTACATCCGTAGCCTCCAAAGGGTAAAATTTTATCTAGTGTTTCAATAGCATCTTGGCTGATCACTATAAACAAAGGGGAAAGTCACTATCATATAATCCTCTCATTCTCTTTAGTATTTGTAATGCATTAGTTGGAATAACACATCCAGTTTTGGGCACAGTGTTTAAAGAAAGAAGTGGTCCAATTGGAGAGAGTAAACAGTGAGGATTACCAGAAGTTCAGGGAAAAAAATATTTACAAGGAAAGATTAAGAGAATTGAGGGGGTCTTGGACTAAATGAAAAAGCTAAGAGGAACATGATCACAAAGAAGAATGGAACAGATCAGGTCTCTGTATGTGCAGTAAACAGGAAAAGAAATAATAGGCTTAAAATGCAGAAAAGGAGATTTAGATTTGGCATTAGAAAAAAAGAGGACTTTCTAATGGAATAATGGAGCAATCATATAGACTGTTTGAGGGGGGTTGGGAATTTCCATCTGTAGAGGTCTTTAAGAACACACTAAAAACATCTGTCAGGAATGTTTACTGAGTGGAGTGATAGACTAAATTACTTAAGGTCCCTTCCAGCTTTATTTTGCTATTAAATACACATTTCCTTCTGATTTGCATGTGTTCATTTGGCTCAAACACATCAAAGAGTGGCTATCCTTGGATCTATATGACCTTACATTAAAATTTAAAATATACTAACAAATATTTTCAGAAAAAATGTTGACCATTTTTAATTATTGCCTATCTGTGGATAAATGTTATACCAAAAAGATGACCATTTCGTTACTTCAGAAAAAAGTCAGAGAGACCTAAAAAGGAGAGATACTAATAGAAAAGCAGTCTCCTCTGAGCATTACATTGTGTCTCATCCAGATTTGTAAGTATTTTTTTTCCATTTGAGACACTGTCAGTCAGTGTCATAGAAAGAACACATCTATATTTTGGTCTCTCCAGTCTCACAATTCAATCTATTTTTGACATGACCAAACAAGGCAATTAATCGTCAGCTTTTTTCTTTTAAGCAGGCAGCTGATGCAGGCCTGTACACTTCAGCATTACTGTGCTGTGGGCTCTCTTTCTCTCTCTGACTTCTATTTTGCTTTCCTTCAGGGAGCTAAAATACAGCTTACTTGGAGGCATTTCAAACTGTAAAATATATCTATCTCTGAGCTGTACTGGCTTGAGCAATAACAACTGCTCCAAAGTCACATGATCCTTACTCTAGCTGGTGACACTACCCTGATCAGGGAGCTCAGGTAATCTCACTGAAAGCTGCTCAGCTTCTCTTGGGTAGACTTGCTGTGGTTCCCACAACCCAGCAACAGATTTGGTAGGTAACTGCTGAGAAAGTGATGTTGGTCCCGGTGATATCTTGGGCCTTTTCTCACCAGGGTAGACTTCCAAATAGTAGTGCCCATTCAGTCAATAATGAGGGGGTCACCAGTTTTACCAAAGGTGCTCCTTGAATAATTCCATTCATCAGCAGTTTATGCAGGTTCTTCTTCAGATATTGTAGGATTATCTGGTTCTCATAACATTCATTTTCACTTGCTAATTAATTACAAAATCTAATGGGTTGGTATTTGTGGATAGAATATTGCTCTTTCACTCACTTCATTTGTTGATGTGTTCAAGAGGCAGATATCAGCTGAGTTCAGATGCCCAACTGCACTGTCTTGTTTTTGTTTTGGTTCCATGCTGAAGATCCCTTACATAAACAAAAGATTCGGGAAAGACAGAAACACATTTGCTTAGCTCTAGCAGTACATCCCACCAATAGGTTGGTTTCTAGTTAAAGAGTGCCTGATAATGGTTTGAAATACCTGGATGATTAAAATACATATGTGTGTGTGTGTGTGTGTGTGTGTGTGTGTTATGAAACAGTTTCAGAATCTGTTACAGTGACTTTCATCATTGACAACAGCTTTCTGAAAACCACTAAAATTTAGGACAGGCAGCTACTATCATTCACTGCTTTGTTCAACAATGTTACACAGTACAACAAATGCAAGAGTGGATGAGATGAAACCTGCCTGTGCTCCTTGAAACCTACTGTCAGTGGGGATTCTGGTTGGCATAACTGTACAGAAAAAAAACTCCCTGGGCCTGGAGCAATGATCCTTCTTCAAAGCTTCTTAAACAAACATTTCTAGAAGGCCTCCTCTTTTCCATTGTTTGTTTAAAAGGGGATAATAGGGACAAAGAAAATACTCCTTCTCTCATACATGGGTGCAAAGTCATGGCATTTTTCCAAGTTTATCACTGCTTCCTCTGGACAGATCTCCAGATATTTTATCTCAGTTTACTGCTTTTTGATTCTTTAGCTTGATAGCTATTTTGATTGTCTCCAGGGTGATTTCTTACTAAAATATAGATATCCATTTCATCTGTTGTCAATTTTTTTTTTCAAATTGAAGCCTGTTTCGTGCAGCATGGGCATGTTCCACAAAGCTTGTTGTTCATCCTTCAAGGGCTATTAAAATATATCCATGTTTGTTCACCAATCCAGTGTGGGCAAGACTGTGGCTGTGATTTGATTTTTGGCTCTCATCCTCTGTGCCTGTTTATCAATATATGCTCTTTACACCAGGTACTCAGTGTGTCCTCAACACATTTACATTGGTGTAGCACCAAGGCAGAACTGCCTCCCACCTTCAGTGGCCTGATGAGCTATTTTAATTAAAGAATACAGGTCAAATAATTAATAGTCCTCCCACTTTGGGGGATTGGGCTGGGTGTGGGGGGCTGAGTATAAAATAAACAACCTCATCCTTGTCATGGAAACAAAGATGAGATCACACCAAGCTCATCCTCAGCACATTCCCTGCCTCCAACAAAAAGACAACGCAGCTAGGAAGAGAGCCAAAATTTCCAAATCCAGTAGTTTACTTTAGCTTTTACCACATTAGACTTATATCTACCCTCTTTCTTTCGAAACTGCTAACGAAGAGTTGAGGTACTGGACCTTGAACTATATTTACAAATAATGAAGCCATTTCTCCTCAGCTCTTCTGGGCACATGAATTCAATGGGTTTCATTATGCTTTTAGTGACTGAGTTGACCAATCATGTGGGACACAGTTTAGGGAAACGGAGGCAGTTGTTTTTGTTTGGTTCCTAGGCTAACATAAACTAAAGGGCAGTAAAGCAGAACCTGCCATAGATAAACCAACGTAGAGTCTGAATTTCTTTACAGTTTGGGAAACTGATGCATCTAGGTGAGGATTAAAATCTCTTTCAGTGTGGAATACACTTTTTCCCCATGTTTAAGCTTTTATTTCTATTTCTTGCATATGAATAAATGATTGATCAGTTTTATGAATTTTCATGAGCACACACTCCAACAAACAAAACAATCTATATAAAAACAACTTTATAAAATGATATTTATTTGGGGGAAATACTCTGCTGGGCAAACAATTCAATTCATATTGGGAATCATTAATAAGTCATATCAAGGTCTGAAATAATGAAACAGATCTTGTCTGGTACCAAGGCTTTAAAAAAGACAGGGCAAGCCAAGAAAGAAAAAAAACAGAGATTGAGCTCTGTGTTTGTAGTGTGAAACATCTGTATTTTATCTCATGTACCAGATGATGAAATGACTTTGGAAGCCAGGAGACACACCAGTGTAAGCTTGATTCACCAAGCAAATACACATGCCCTTTCAACTGGATTAGACGTTTTGCAAGTTATGGCCAGGTCTTCATTTTGCCTGATCACTGCAAATATTACACTCAAAAAACACATTCGTTCCTCAGTTACACAGTTTAGTCTACCACACTCTATTGAAAAGCACAAGAGGGGAAAAAAAAAAAAAGGTTGCAGAAAGAGATCTGTTTCTGTCACAAAACCAAAATGGAATATGTGCTTCTTTACATTCAGATAATATATGCTGCAGTAAATTATGCAGTGAAATAGCAGCTGGTTCTGTTTATTATTACATACCACCCCCAATAATGAGCAACATCCCACAAGCAGCCATTGACCAACTGCATCCATCTTACATATTTTCCTTTTCCTAAATACCAGAGTAAAACACAAATAATAAAAATGCAGTGTGCT